AGGGGGAAGGGCCCCCCCTTGTTTTTTTTTTTTTTTTTTTTTACCTCTCCAGGGAAACCCTTCACAGGGTTTCACCCAGACACATCTTTTTTGCAGGACTGGGGATTATATTTTGCCTGCATAAAAAATGTACACATCCAACCCACTCGTGGGGCTGGCTAAAGTGCCCTCACTGCTAGACCAAAGGCACTGCAGGAAAGGCAAATTCAGCCTTTCACCAACTTTGCAACGCTCTGGAGATGGCTGGTCAGGTCCTAAATCACAGCAATCTCAGGCTTGCGCTAGCTTATGCCTTCTGTGTCCATATCTCCAGGCTGCCGCTGTGACAGCCCGGGCGTAGCATCCTCCCAACCCACCCCTGCTTTGAGTATCACCCATACCCCGGGCCGGTGGCTGAGCAGGCTCTGCACCACCCAAGTGATCCCTCAGCTCCAGGGAAAACCCCTGAGCTCCCAGCTTGGCAGCACAGGACAACAAGGAATTAGGTCTCTCCAGAGAGATGCCGAGCTGGGATACGATCACAGATGGCCAAATTTATCTTTCAGTTATGCCTGTAAGTTCGCATTGAAGATATTGCTTGCTAGGAACCATATGTTCATGTAATGGAGTTGCAGTATGTGAATTTGCATTTGTCGTGTTACTTATGAAGAGCCCAGTAGTCTAATTTGGGATCAGGCTAGATTTAGATCTGTGTATTGATATACAACATTATGTATTATTATAACAGATACAGTTAATTGGATAGTTTAATGAAAATGCATTTGTATGAAAAAAAATTAGTTCTAATGTAAGCAGTTATAAAAATCATAAAAAGTTTATGATTACCTTAGAAGTGGGCAAAAATAGACAAAAAGACACGAATTATATTTATTTTTACAGCTACTGACTCCATTTCCTTTTATAATGTCAAATGTCAGGATGTTTTCTTATTTTCGACTAAGCTAGCTAGGTGCTTGGATAAAAACTTTAAAAAGCAGCTTAAGAACTGGATAAAAGTCTGTGCTATTTTCTGTTCATGAGAGAATATTCTATCATTAGAATCAATTCATGTTCTCTGTCATTACCTTGTATTTCACAATGTATCTGAATTTTAATGCCCATGAATTGACAACTATTAAATCATGTTGTTCTTTTCAATATGAGGATTCCTCCTTATTGACTGGCCATTCTTCTACTTCTCTCCCAGAAAACACAAAAAGGAAAGGAATAGATCAATCTATGAAAATACTTGCTTTGCTATAGTAAACAAAGTGATTACAAGACTAAGGGAAAAAACACCAAACTACTCTGTGAATATGATTTACAATGAAAATAAAGAAAACTGTATTCCAAAGCCTTTGTTTTATGCTTCTTTGAAGCATTTTGAAAGTAGAAATGCAAGTACCAATTTCTTCTTTGTGTTCTCTGCCATCTTCTAGAATAAAATTAAGCATAAATAAGGAAGGACTTTTTTATATATATATATATATGGTTAGTAGACTGCATATGCATCACTAGAAATTGGATGTAGAACAGTGTTTCATGTATGGGAAGATTTATGAAATTATTTATATAATCCTATCACCTTAGAAATTAAAAAACAACAAAAAAATCACTCTTTGTAATGTGCAACAAGAAAGATTTCCAGTGTCAAGTAAAGAATTAGTTATTCAAAGCACTGGGCCAGCTTTTCAGCTTCTATAATCACACTATTTCTGCATTCTTGTATTGATCTGTGCTGGAGAGTTAACCCTGAAAGTTCCCCTACACTGCACCACCTTGCTGAGACATACTTATCTTCCAGAAGCTTTCAATATATCTGCCGTGTTTTAAAATAGACGGAAAAGATCTTAGAAAATGTCATGGTTTAACCCCAGCCAGAAACTAAGCACCACGCAGCCGCTCACTCACTCCCCACTCCCCAGTGCGATGGGGAGAATGGAAAAAGAAGTAAAACTCATGGGTTGGTGTGGTGGGGTGACCCCGGCTGGAGGCCAGGCGCCCCCAAAGCCACTCTGTCACTGCCCTCCT